GATGGATGGATGGATGAATTTAATGATTTGAAACTGAATTTTTGAGTTTAAATTTGAAAGAATTTGCTTTGAAACTGTATTTTGGTTTATTAAAAATTCAGTTTGACTACTTTCACTTTCAGTTCCATAATTCAGATTTTTGTGTCACATCCTGGTCCTTGAGAAAGCCATTTGAAAAATCAGTTTTTCTTTATTTCTTCCCTTTGTTGCAGAGCCAAAACTGGATTTTTACATCTGTGGTCAAAATCCAAAAACACAATATTTAACGGAAAGCAGACTCTTTATTCAGAACTTTGTACTAAGCCGTTTTATAAAACTTAAAATACAATCAGCAACAGTTAAGGCCATGCAAAGTGTTTCACGATTCATAACATAAAGAAAATATTCTCAAACACAAACATATGGGCCAAGACAGTGAAAGAAAATCTTTATTTTATTTTATACATATATTTCTTTTTATTTATAAATGTCAGTGTTAAAGAAAAGAAAACCAAAAAGTCTATGGAGACACTTAAACATATTTTACTGTGACAATAAACAAATGTCTCAGAGCAAGACCTGTTCAAAAACAAACACTTCCTTTTCCAAAGGAAACAGGATTTTACTGAAAAATAAATCCATATTTTATTATAGTCTGCTCTTTGGTTAAGTTAAGCCTGCATTGAGCTCCATTTGTTGTAGATGAGCTGGACTTGAAAATGTGAGAAAATTCACAAATTTTCACTTGGAATCACACATATTTAGAACACATTTGCACACACTCAACTTGTTACATTTCAGTCACAAAGCGTCTTAATTCTGTCTCAGTTTCATCCCAATTTATTCTCTATTTTCCTTTTTTTTTTTTTTTGTCTCTAGGTGCAATTGGGTTTTACCGGCTGCCAAACCCTCCCAAGGTTTAACTCACAGAAACTAAACTCAGGATTCAAGGCATTTGCAAATTCGTCAAATTAATTTTTTCAAATGTGTTCAAAAATCCAGCGACATGAGTGAGGCCGAGCGATTCTTGGGTGAAATAAAGAAACATCTGAGAAACTCTCCTGCCAGTGTGGTTTGTATTTTGTCTCAGCTCAGTGAAATACAGGCTTTTATGCTTCAAATTCTGTTGCAATTATTTCCAAAAAGTTTACAATGTCTGACCAGTGGTGGGCATAGCTCCACTCCGCCAATCCGCTAATAGTGGAACTAGCTTCTGATTTAGAAGATTAGCTTTTTTGCTAACTTTGTAAACCGTTAGCGGAATGTTTAGCTCCACTAAAAAAAATCACAAGTGTAAAAGCTGTGTTTTTATGCCATTTATCCCAAATCAAATAAAAACCATCCCCTCTTACAAACAGTGTGTCAGGCATTGTGTGTAGCATGTAGCATCTTAGCAGCTAAACATCAAACTAAGTGCATCAAAATGAAACAAAATAACATTTAAATATGAAATAGAAAAACTATGTATAAAATATGGTAGAGAAAGTATTTGCTATTTGTTTGCCTTGTCCAACTTAAACTGGAAGTATCACAAATTATACAGAGCTGTAAGTCTGGTTTGGATTGGCCGATTTGCCACAAATGACCCCGCCCACATTAATTTTCAACCAATTGAAAACTAACAACAGGTTCGTGTCTGTCCCACCAGTCTTCAGGAAGGAGATGAAGACATTCGACAGACTGAGTGAGAGTCGTCTTAGCGGTTAGCGTTAGCTTCAAATAATTTTTTTATCGGTTTAGCGTTAGCAGAGCTTGTTCAGTGGATTAGTGGTTAGTGAAGCTAACGTTTTGGTTAGCTATGCCCACCACTGCATCTGGCTTAATTTTTGTTACAAAAATCACAAAACACATAAAATGTAAACAGATTCTGTTGCATAAATTCACATAAAGTTGGTACTTAAGTCAAACTTACAGAGATTGTCATTTAAAGTCAGTACATTTTAAATATAGATTTATCTCTCAATTTCTGAACAAGAAATGTCGTCCTTTCACAAAGTATTCGTACAAAGTGCTTTCTGTTTTAAAATGTTCTTATATATCATCCATTTTCAGACTAAGACGATAATCTTTGGTGTCGCCTCATGATGCATTCCTGCTCTCACATCATGTCTCTGCTGTGGTAGGGGGTCTGTACGGGATAAATCTTGTGCCAGCAGGAATTAAATTTGAATTGCTCAGATTGAATCTGAATGTGCATAATTAGAAATTGAATGCACTGGATTGAAAATAAATTTCATTAAATTGAAACTGAATTCAAAGTTTTGTATCTGAATTAATTTGCTTTGAAACTGTATTTTGGTTTATTAAAAATTCAGTTTGACTACTTTCACTTTCAGTTCCATAATTCAGATTTTTGTGTCACATCCTGGNTATTCTTACACAATCAGTTCTTGTTTAGTAAACCAGTCTCAAAACAAGATCAAAAAGACTTTTTGGCTGATATAAGATTTTAAAACTTGGTTAGATGGACAGTTTTTGCGTTGTGTTTTATTGTACACTTGACACCCATAGACATAAAAAAAAACTTTTTATGTAAAATTCTACCTTTCTCACAAAATGACACTTCAGATCAACATAGCAAACACATAATACAGTACCCATACGTGTCGGGATATTGATCTAAAACTTTATGTGAGCTGAGAGTCATCCCCGTCACACACTCCAAGCACCGACACGTGCAACAACGCTGTCAGGTGAGTTTTGCTGACGGTGGAGGGACTGTGACTTCCATCCTCCAGGTTTTAACAGGAGTGAGGGCTCCTGAGGGGTCGGAGGTCGGCAGATCCTCGACGCCTGTGTCGGTGGGAATGACTGTTTCCAAGCAGAGAGGAAAAGCAGAAACACGGGGAGGAGAAAGGATCACACTGTGGTCGGAGCCCGGGTGTGAAGTGTAACGTGTGTGTCAGTTGATGTAACCTCCGGCCTTTGGGGCCACGCAAACCCTCGGTTCTCGCCTGATCCCGGCGGCTGACACCGAGCTGTGAATTCAGGGGACGTGACGGGAGGAGGGCAGCTGAAGAGTTGAACAGAGATGCTTTGTGAGGACACAGGTTTCAGTGTTTGCTGTTAAACCAGCAATTACAAGCAGTTTTACCCCCTTAGAGGTGAGTGTGACATCATAAACTGGAACTAGTACGTTTGATTTCAGCTGATGTGAACACCGACACTTGGAAGACTTTAGATTCCAAAATAAAACCAGTTTTTTTTAAAGAAATGCTTTTTGTTTTGCCACCATGTCCAAATTTTAACCGAGTTCTTAGGTGAACTCATGTGTCAAACTCAAGGCCTGTGGGCCAAATGTTGCCCGCCTTGGTATTTTATGTGACCTGCAAGAACTAAAGTCTTAAACAGGCATAAACTGCTGAAAGCCAGCATTAATTATAAACCACATCTCCCATAATGCATGCTGATTATTTAACCCACAAAATAACAGCATCTCACCTCTAGGTGGAAGTGTACAGGGTTCAAAAGCAACCAGAAGTCCACAAAAACTATGGGATCAATCTTGTGCCAGCAGGAATTGAATTTGAATTTCTCAGATTGAATCTGAATGTGCATAATTTGAAATCAAATTCACTGGTTTGAAAATGAATTTTACTAAATTGAAACTGAATTTAAAGTTTTGATTTTGAATTAATTTACTTTGAAACTGTATTTTGGTTTATTATAAACTCAGTTTGACTACTTTCAATTTCAGTTCCATAAGTCAGATTTTTGTGTCACATCCTGGTCCTTGAGAAAGCCAGGCAGAGTAATCAAACACAGATCCACAGATTTATGTTTCACTTTGGTGAAGTTTCCCTTCTGTATGTAACAGAGTTGATGCAATCCACTGTAAAAGTGACAAAAACAAAGTTACTTTATTACAGTGATTAATTTGACCTATATGTAGAAAATGTAACAAAAATTTGGATAAAATGTAGCATTTTATGCACATTAAGATTCAATCTGAGCAATTCAAATTCAGTTCCTGTTGGCACAAGATTTATCCCGTAGCGTCAGACGTTACTGCAGAGGTGGGCTCTTGCGGCAGAGCTGATTTGCAGGTGCGGGCACCTGGCGACTGCGTTTTTGTTTGCCAGTCAGAAGTGTGTAGAAGAACGGGTTGACACATGAGTTCCCGTAGGTGAGCCCTGTGAGGATCCGGTTCACCGTCACCTGTGTCCCGACTGGTACTGCTGGGAGCATGTCGGGCTGGTAGAGGGGGAGCAGCTGCCAGATCCAGAAAGGAAGGAAGCAGGCCCAAAAGGCCAGGACTATACCCAGGATGAGGAGCAGGACTTTGGGTTTGGGCGCTCGAGGAGGGCACGCGCTGTTGTTGCCGGCGGCCCAGGCCGGCCGGGTCTGCGACACCCAGTAAAGCCGTCCGAGCGTGGCGTACAGAGCCCCGATGGCCAGCCCCGGGCCGAGGATGCTGGTGCAGAAGAGCACGCTCAGGTAAACCTTGGAGCTCTGCTCGTCCCACGCCGGGACGCACAGCTGGCCCTTGTGGTTCTCGCCGTCCTCCAGGTGCAGGGTGATCATCATGGGCAGGCTGAGGGCCACCGCCAGGCCCCACGCCAGGCCCACCCGCAGCAGGTTGGAGGAGCTGGAGGAGGAGGTGCGCAGGGGGTGGGCGACGGCCCGGTACCGGTCCAGGCTCATGGCCGTGAGGGTGAAGATGGAGGCGTGCATGGTGAGGAAGTCCAGGCTCAGGATGAGGCGGCACCCCAGCTCCCCGAAGGCCCACTCAGACACCAGGCTGTTGTAGACGATGAACGGGGCGGTGAAGAGGTAGAGCAGGTCGGCCAGAGCCAGGCTCAGCACCTGGAGGTGAAGGGAGGAGGAGGAGGACGGGGAGGAGGTGGGGGAGGAGGACGGGGAAGTGGTCGGGGCGAGGCAGGACGGTACGGGGATCCTGAAGCAGCAGCTGGCCCCGCGCCGCCTCCGGCCTCGGCTGCGCCTCAGGAGGAGCACCAAGGTGTAGAGGTTCCCCGTGATGCCCAGCAGGGAGAGCAGCGAGAGGAGGGCGCAGAACAGAGCCGTGGACGCCAAGCTGGGGGAGGCAGAGGTGGGAGGAGAGGAGGAGGAGCTGCAGTTCACAGGGAGAGGGTACAGAGAGGTCGGAGGCGAAGAACCAAGGAGGTCCATGATGTTAGAACAGATTCAGGAGGGTTGGAGGCTGTTCAGGCTGCAGAGGAGGAGAGGCTGAAGATGGGTGAAAAGGTCAAAACAGAGAGCAGAACACAATGAGTTAATCTCTGGAGTTTATTTTTTATTCAAACCAAGGTTTTAACTGTTCTGTTCTTAGTTTTATTTTTCTTTTAATTCAGTTAGTTTTAATTAGTTTTTACGGTGGATACGGAAGAGGATTAGGGCCACTGAAAAAATAAAAAAAGGAATTCTGACTTTTTTCTCAGTATTCTGAGATTAAAGTTAGTTAGAGTTAGTTAGTTATGTAAAACGATTATACAGTTTTAGTT